GGCTTCAGTTTCATACTTATTTTTAAGTATCTTTTTGTGATTCTGTAGTCAGTAGGGGTGTAACGATTCATTTTAACAACGATTCGATTCGAATCGCGATTCGTGGTTGCCGATTCGATTCATGGACAATCTGGGTTAATTTAGAACGATTCGATTCAGTGACTTAAAATCGATTCAGTAACTTTACTGGACAGTGCATGCAAAGTTGCCAAGATCCCTGTTGTTTCTTGTAAGGAAATCAGGTTTAAATTAATTATGGATATTATAAACAGGCAAACAATTTATGCATGGCAAATGTATTAACCTTTTATTGTGCAACCACTTTCAATGTAAACATACAATAATTACACAATGTTTGGATCAATTCACAGAACCCCGGATTTTCAGCCACATTGTAGGGTCGCATGTCTTCACAGATAAACTTGGCAATTGTTACTGTGATGTTGAGTTTGTTGCTGGCGAGGCCTGAGGTGTCTGCAGAGCTGGAGTTACCTGCTGCTGCTGCAGCGGTAACGCTGCTAGAGGTGCCTGACTGTCGGCGTTGTTTAATCCCACGGCGCCTTAGATAGCCGGAAAGATCCGTTGTGGTTTTTTATTTGTCTTCCACATATTCTACAAACAGCGACCGACTTATTTAGAACACCTCCGTGTTTGCAAAAGCCAAAATATTTCCACACGCTGGATCGATAAGTTGGTTTGTAAATGTCTCGCTCGCAGTCGTCTCCTCAACGCTGGGTTTTGTTGTTGTTCAGTTTTGCGCGGCTGCCGCTGCGTACTGATGACGTCACAGACAGGCAGACTGAATCGAGTAACGTTTAACGTGTCTAAAGTGCTAAAAAACAAACAAACATCCATACAGTTTTTGTGCTTAAATCCAATGTGCAGTTTCCAAGTATCGATACATTACATTACAGGTCATTTAGCTGACGCTTTTATCCAAAGCGACTTACATTACACTTTAAACCCATGGCTTTTCACATTTTTGCCCGGGGAATTAGGGGTTAGGTGTCTTGCTCAGGGACACTTTGACATGGAACATGGGGCAGCCTGGAATCGAACCTTGTGCTTCCCAGCACACCTTCTCTAACCCCTGCGCCACGACGACCCCAAATAGATTACAAATAGATTATGTACCATTTCAATCGATTTGTAATCGATATATGTCGTCCAGAATCCCGATTTGCGGAGCACAGATCGATTCAGGTGGATCGCAGGAATATAAATCGATTAATCGATTCAGTGGATGAATAGTTACACCCCTAGTAGTCAGCTACCTAAAGAGTGGTTCGCGCTTATCATGGAGCGACAACGCCCATGGAACACCCTCAAGAGGCTAGGGGGAACTTGTTTCGACATTATTATTTTATTTTCTTATGTTTCAGTGTTCATGGTCCTGGTGTTCTATATTTTATATTTTATTTTATTTTATGTTTTACATTTGCTTGCAATATTATGTGTGATTAAAGAATACTCTTGTAGTGGTAAAAATATGTTATGCTAAAAGAGTGATTATTGTCTGTATTGCAGTGATGTGCAAAAGCAGAAAGATTTAAGGTTTCCATATGCAGCTGTGTCTGAAGAAGGGAGTTAACTTGCTCAAACAAAGGAACTGTGTGTGTTACCCCCATCTTAATCATGGTTAATATCTCAACTTGGATTTGCAACTTCTCGTACCTGCCACTGAGGATGGCCTTCACATGTGTAAAACAATTTTATTCATCAAGACTCTTTTAGTTTTTTATTAGATAAACATTGAAAGAATTCATTCTCCTCTCCCGAACTATTTTATTGAAATATTCCACAACATGTTTCACTATTGGGTGAAACACAATTGACCTCTTTTTCATGAAATATATTGTTACGTGATTCAACTTGTAACTCGTTTTTATGAAGAATAAACATCCTTTGATTTGAATCGAACAATCTAACATCGGGCCAGAGGGGGTCCTTCCTCACAAGAAGGTCTGATTGCGACAAGACTAGGGAGCCTCGGTTATTATTTGTATACCATCATGACAAATAACACCACACTATAATTCTTGTATCCACACTTTTTCCAAACATTCCTGTTGAGGATTACTAATCCTTCGCTGATAATCAATTTTTGAGCGGAATTGCTTCTTATTAGAGCAGACACCTTTGTGTGTATTGGGAGATCATGTAAATAGTGGCTGACAGCCCGTATGAGAATAAGTAATTAATTATTGTGAAATGCACAATCTTCTAATTCACACATAGGATTATGTGACCTCGTGCTGTCTGAGCTCATTTCTGTCATTGGGACATGCACTTTCCACCAACAGTCCGGGATCTGAAAGCATCTGATGGGTGTATTCAGCCATATGGCCTTTGATTTTTAAGTTCTGTGAAAAGGGTAGAGGAAGTTAACAAAGATTGGGACCCAGACTGTTTATAGAAACTAGATGCAAAGCAGCATCTCTAATCGTTGTGGCTGATAAGGCAGAGCCAAAAAAGAATTTAAATAAAGGCTGCGAAATGCAAATGGTCAATTTTCAAACTATTGCTCCCATTCTGCGGTTGAAGTGAATGAGCTAATGCATTGTGAGTGTGTGCCTAATGAGATCACCAATAGGCCTTCAGGGATGGAATCTGGTTGTTTCTATCTACTGTAAGGACCTAAACACACTGAGATGGATGTAATGTATAAAAAAGGATAGCTTTGTGCTAATGTTATCCTGTATCCAACATTGTTGTGGTAAAATTAGAGGTGGGTAAACTATGAATTTATTTTTTTTGGTGCGAAATTGGTGCGTGACTAAAGACCGAAATGAAATGAGTGACTGTCACGCTCAATGCGTGATTAATATTGTTTGTCCCGGTCTTAATGCAATGTTTAAAAAACGTGAATTGATCTTCTTTAGTCTCACTTTGTACTTGAGGCCTTTTGCGGGCATCTGTGGGAGTGGGAGCACTCAATGGTCCCTTCATATCCATGGCTAATAAATCCATTCCGAACAGGTGGGCAGGCAGGCGAATCCACAACCTGTATGTGTTTACAAAGTTCCTGGATGGATCCTGATTGGTGTTGCCGCCGCAGCCGCTAGGCACTGATTGGAGGGTCACAGACCATACAGCGCAGATGAAAATTATTGGTAACACTTTACTTGAATGGGTGTTCATAAGGCTGACATAACATTGTCATAAGCATGACATGACAGTTTCATTAAGTGTCATTCGGTAAGTTATGTCACTTTTGATGCAACGGTGACATTGTTTGAGATGTCCTTGTTATGACAACTTGATATAAACCAAGACAACAAAACCTGTCATTAACATGTCATTAACATGCCATAACAGACCTAACTGTCAAACTTAAGCAAAACGTTTGGCTTCATATCTTAGAGCGACATTAAACCGTCATATATGGATGGTTTTGACATTCGCTGTCATAAAACCATTACAATTGTGTCATAAATGTTGTCCTTTTCATTACGATGTCGTTAAGTGTAACTACACTGCTAAATGACTTTATAACACATTTCCCATTTCCCTCCTACAGTGATTTAATGATTTTAACTTTGCATTAAGATATCATGTGCATCAAATTTGAGGGGCTGGTTGAACGGAATTCCTAATATAACAATCCTACATGAATTACACAAATAAAAGACTGCTAAATATGTTATTTAGATATGTAATAAAAAATACATTTGATATATTAATACTGTACCTGTGCATGTGCTCGAGCCATTTTGTCAGGGGGATGTGAGACTTGGTGAATATTGAGCCATTACGTACAAACTTTTATGATGCTTACAGACCCTGAGGAAAAATAATGAAAAAAGTAAAAAAGGCTGACATGTAGACAAGGTTGTTCATGCTTTTATCTCTTCAAGACTAGTCTACTGCAATGCTCTGTAGTGATCAGTAAGGAAAACATCCTAAACTGAAACTTATCCAAATTGCTGCCAACGGCAGAAAACAAGCACGTCTCCCATGAGTCTGAGCAGAGCATTTATTAATAACAATACTAATAATAATATTATTAAAGACCCCGTCCAACCATGCGCGGTGATGTCAGGCACGCAAGCTCAGCGGCTTCTTTTACGTAGTTTCCATTTAATTAATTAACAAATTAGAATTAGCTTCTGCTTACCACCACAGCCCATCCTCGACATGGCATTTCACCAGATGCATGCGACGGTTGCATTTTGCGCACTTCATCGTCGTCGTCGTCAGGATACCACGTTTCTGCATCTATTTCACAATTTTCCTTCTGCTCTTGTGTGTATTTGAACGCCTAATATGTTTTAAAAGTTCTCCCATCAGTGCCATTGCATCAACAACTAGTCACCCGTCTCTGATCCGCACCCGCGCCTTTTTTTTTAAGTCGGTACGTCAGTCTTCTTCTCGTCGCTCAATGCTCCATCAACAAGACAGAACAGCGCCCCCACGTGTGTCTACAGGGGAACTGCACCTGTATTCGTGAAAAAAGTTATGAGATTTCAAACGTAGTTGGCTTTTCTAAATATAAAACTAATTAAAACTAACACATGTATTAATATTTCATCACTGTTTACAAGTGTTGTTGAATTTGAACTGAATGCGCGCGTAACGTAACGTTTACGTAACGTCAGTATCCACATGAGTAGATCCCAAGGCGACGTGACGGACATGCCAGCAGTGCAACACACTGATCAACAGTCTGGAAGTTTCCTACTTCAGGTAAGCTAACGCGAAATACCGGTGTGTAATTTGGATTTTAAAAGAACATTTTTTTGAGGAGGACATTATAACTGTGACGTTAGTCTTTTGTTTACAGTCTTTGCCGTTTTATTAAGTACTAACTAATACTAGTTAGCCTTTAAGTACAAAGTCCTTACGTCTCCGTTACAAGGCAGCCAACAGGCTATAACGTTAGTAGCATAGAGGCTAGTAGTATTTGCTCCAGTTTTCTTGTCGCTATTTCTAAACAACTAAGATGTCACGATTGACTATTGTATCTTAACCTTAGCTTCTATGACATGGTGCTGTTTTCGTTACTTACACAACTGTAGCTAGATGGACACCTGTTTCAGCAAACGTGGTAGGAAGGCTGAGGATAATGAAGCTAACCCCAAGCTGCTACACGCTGTGGAAGAGGACCTGGCACAAGAATGTGAAGATGTCCCTATTCATCCAAAGAAAAAAAAGCTAATCAAATATTCCCCGAGGAAAACAAGTAAGTCTAGTCTATTTATGTTTTTTTTACTACTTTCACCAGTAGGGCTAGAAATGTACTTTTTATTCATACATATTTACATACATGTTTTTTTGCTTCTTCTCAATAAACAATATGCACAAAAGTACTGCAGTGCAATGAATGTATGTATGTTAATGAATAGATAGTATAGATTAACACATGACACATATCAATATATTGCACAACAGTACACCCCCACCATTGACTGACCTCAATAATCCACTTAAAGTACTTCCTCTGTTGCAGTGTCTCCAAACAGGGGCATTGGAGTTGGCCAAACTGAAGGAACAAACCAAGATGGACCGACAGAAGATAGAACACCTTGAGGAGCGCATTAATTACCTGGAGGAGGCCAACAAGGACCTGAAAGCTGACAAGGACTTCCTACTTGCCAACATTAAGGAAGCTCCCAGCACACTTACATCTTCTGGGAAAGGTACAAATGCACTACAATTAACATCCATGCAGTACTAGTTGGTGAAGGAACCAGAAATAGAAAAAGGCTGGGCACAGAGTGTAAGGATATATTATTATATACAATTGCATTGTTGTTACAACCAGGGCTGTGGTGGAGGGTAAACGCACGTAAACGCTGTTTACGCACCTCTCAGGATCCAGGAGGTGTGTATACATACGCGTTGTGGATCAGCCCAGTGGTCCCCAACCTTTCTTACCTCACGGACCGGTTTCATGTCAGACAATATTTCGTGGAAGGTCCGACGGGGGGGGGGGTGTAGTAGTCGTTGCGGGCGGAATGACCGACGGGGGGGGGGTAGTAGTAGTCGCGCGCTCTGTGTTCGCTGGTCGTGCACGGTAAAAGGACAAGAAAAACGCCTGGTGATGCGTAGATTACAAAACAAGTCGGTTCTCAATGTGAAAAAAAACATGCTGTATAGGCTATTTATGATGACATAGGTAGTACATGAGTGTTCCTTTAACTTATGTTGTCAGTGTAATTGACAGGCTGCTTAACTGGTTAACTCCTAAATTCAACATATGTTTTCAGGCAGTGATAGGACAGGCAATGATGCAGAGAGCACAGGGAGAGGAGAAACACCAGGTCCAATAGAGAGAGAAGCACAGAGGAGCCATGAACCCCAGAACACGCGTTCTGGGGTTCATGGCTCCTCTGTGCAAGGCAGGACCTGACGTGGAGGACAAGGAGGCCCTCTGGACACTGCTGTAAAAAGGAGACTCCATATGTAGATAGTTCTTAATCTGCAATTGTCTTGTTGTGCTGACACACTTTTCTTTACTGTTTTCTTAAATTTAATAAACTACTAACACATTTATTCATTGTCATTGATTGTATATGACTTTTACTGATAACATGATGCAATATAGCCAGGACAGCCTTACAGAGTCGCAACGCTTTGTGTTGCCTTGCTTCGCATCGCATCAAGGTCTGTATGACCACAAAATTCAGAGTTTACCCACCTCTAATTTTACCACTACAGCACTGGTTACAACTGAGATGTCCAATTGAGCTGAAATACTATTTTCCCAAGCCCTTCCAAAAGGTTTCCGATATGACCTGATAAGTCTCTGGTGATGGCATTGCTGTGTAGAAAGAAATGCTATGCACTGAGATAGAGTAGAGCCATCACTCACTGTATGCTACAGCTAATGCTCTACTAACATGTTGACACACACAAACTGATGTTTCACTCACTGTTACTGCTGCTAACTCTGGCCTTTCCTTCCAGTAAATTGCTCTGAGAGTATAACTAGAGTACAATAGAGTGACTTCTGGGTGCTCTGGTTCTGCTCCTGCTTCCCCCCCCCCAAACAAACACCTGTTAATTATCAACTACAATGCAATAGAAATAATAAGAAAAATAAATAAGAAAATAATAAGTAAGTAATTATCTATAACAAAGCCTCTTGTACACGTGCAGTTGTCTGCTCTCAAAAAAGTGACTCTGCATTAAAAAAAAGTATTAGTTTTTTGCTTTGTTTACTTATAAACATCTCTGCTTCTCCACCTATTCCTCACTTTTCTTCCCCCAGGCAGGAAGACCGCTCCAGAACCTTCTTCATCTTCGACTTCAACATCGACATCTCCCTCCTCAGACTCCAGCTTCTTATCATCCTCAGAAGAAAAGAAAAAGAAAAGGAAGAAGTCCAAGAAAAAAACCATTAAGTCAAACAAACACACTGAATCATACAGCCGTTCAAGAAGTAAGCAGAGATATTGATCATCTTTATAATCACCTTTATAACAATCCTAAAGTTGACCCGTCACGTTCGGTCACGGTAACGGGCGGCAAAGATCCACGCGCAGAGGGAGGTCACAAAATAAGGGTTTTAATGTTCAACAGAAACAGCGAGCAGAGCTCGATGGCAAAACATAGAACAAAAATGTATTCTCTAGGAGACCAGCTAGGCAAAAGGCAAAACGAAAGATAATCCTCCGGACAGGGGAATCTCCTCCTTGGAGAACAAAGCTCGACAGGAGCCCGCAGGATGCAGCCCCTGCGGCACGACGCTGAAGACCGGACGAGCAGGACTTGGCTGTGCGCAAAACGAGAAGGTCTTGAGGCTGCTGGACAGGGGAAGGGTTGACTCACAAGAATAATCCGACAAGACACAAAGGGAACACATGCAAGATATAGACAGGGTGATTAGACATGACGAGAAACAGGTGTAACAGCAAACGGCGCGGGCACTGATTGAAATGAGCGGCAGGTGGATGGGAAGGCTATGTGAGAAGTGGGTGTGTGTGCCGAGGTGAGACTAATGGGCAAATGAGTGTGTCAGTGAATGTATATGGCAGAGGGGAAGAGAGAGACCCGGATCCTGACAGAGAGGGCCAAAATTAAAAACTACCATAAATATCATGATACCCAATACTTACAATACCCTCTTCATGTCTCCCCTGCGATCGCTCGCCGTAAGCGCAGAGAAGTTGCTACATTTGTGGCTAGTAGCTTTTGCAGTGCCTTGTTTTTCTTGTAAAGACTAAATCTTTAAGTCTTCACTTTAGAAAGTGTGTATTTTAGACACTGTTAAATTGTCTTTTTAAACACAAAACCACACACATTTGATCATCGAAAGCAGAATTCCAGGTAGAAGGTGTCAAACGAGCGACTCTTCCTGCTGTCCTCGTGCGGTTTGCTGGGTTCTCAACTCTTCATAATTTGACAGCTGTGTTCAAAGTGCCAACAATCTCCCGACTTTTAGTCAGGACGTTTTCCAAACCGCTGTCTTTTAGGGACACAGTGTTGGTCCTCTGCAGACCTCGCGGGCAGGGTAGATGTTGAGATGGCGACCCGGGGGGATCGGAGATCCCGACAAAGTCTAGCAGGTGCCAACATGTTCCAGGCACTATCAGTGCTTTAAGTGGTAAGTTATTGTGACAGCCCTATTGTAAGGGATCAGGAATGCAAATCAGTAGGATAACCTAACATTGATTGGGTGACTAATTAGGGCTTAAATATATGTGGGGTGATGGCTAACTGAATACAGCTGTGGGGGGAAAAGGGCGGGAAACTAAACAAAGACAGGAAGTAAAATGGTTCGTTTTCAGTACTCTATCAACGTGAAACTTTCTGGATTTTTTCTTTTGAACCAGAGATGGTGACACAAGCTGGATTTGCTCTACCTCACTCACAGGTCTGATCAAGAAGCCTCCTTTTTTTTTAAGAACGTTTGATTCTTCCTGCACGCACAACATCCGTCAAGGCGAGAATCAAAACATTCAATGGCAACTGGACCGGGTTATTGCGGCTACGATGTTTTTGACAAGATAACTTAATTGTAATTATTGTTGGAGGAAATTATGGGGGGGTGATATAATTCTTGGGGGCAATGTGGCCCTTTGCCCTGTATTTCCGTATTTCCTACAATGCATGATAAACGCCTGATAAAGATGAAGATGTCCAATTTTCTGAAAATATTAATGAACACACTAAAGCTGTTTGAAAAAACAACTTTGTAGTTAGTAGAGGCTCCTGAAATTGTCCTGTTGCCGGTACCTGGTGTGTTATTCTCTTGTGTCTGTTTCATAAGGCCACATTCCATTTAATAGCCAAGCCCCGAGAGTCACCACCAGACATAAAAAAAGGAGCTGTAAAGCTCTTTTCCCTGCTATCTGCTACAACCACTGCTGCGTCCAATTTCACCCGCTCAGTGTCACTGCTGTCCCCATTCAGAGAGAGAGATGTGTGCCGGAAACAGTGGGAGGATGGAGGTAAAGGGAGAACAATAAAAAACAATAATTTGTTCAGCGTTTTTTTTTTTCTGAGGGAGTTAAAGAAGGTGAAATCGGCACCTCCCTTTTAGTTTTCTAAAAGTAGTGTGGTTTTAGAACCTCAGCCTTGTAACAAGCCTGTGATGAAGGTGTCCGTGGAAAGTCTGCTGTGTAGCTGCACATTTGCTTTCAATTAAGACATGTCAAATTGTTCTCTCCCCTCTCCTTTCTTTAAACTCTAACCTACCCTAGAACGTCCAGTATGATCTGGATTACAGGATCCCTGTTTTACAGACCAAAACTCCAAATCAACTGAATAACATGTATTGAAATAATGAATAAACTGCTGTAAAGTCCAGCTGCCGTATTTAGGGTTGGATGCATTAAATTGACTCACTGGCACTTTGTGTATGTGTTTGTCACGAGCTTGTAACTCTCACACTATTCCCTTCCACTATTTGCACTAACTGTTTTGCCAGGGCCCCATTGCTGCCCTTCGCGTAATCAGATATATCTGAATGTATATTGAAAAAGGTAAAAAGAAAACATTTGATATTGAAAAACGTGATCAATATTGGAAGCCCGGTTGGGAATATCTGGAAAAATTTAGCGTAACAACTTCTCTTGTTCTGGTAGATTTATTTGTCTAATCAAGAATCAGTGGTGCGTTTGCAAAGGTCGGGGCAGTTCTGTCGGCCCGCAGGCCGGAAGAACAGCTTACTAACATGAGGAAGAACATGTTTTGTTGTATGTATAGAAGAAGAGATTCCTATAGGCCCTAAACTGGCGTTGAGGAGGAGCAGGTCCTCCCGTCGCAACACTAGATCCAATCACATAAACGAAAAAGTAACAAACAAAATGTTGAGTGTAACTCCCATCCTTATCAGACTGTGTCTTCCCGGTTGGCCCTTGTGATAAGACTGTGACTCCCTGAATGAGCCGTAAGAAAAACTTTTTTCATTAGAAATTATAGATTAGTTGTATGTTGATAGTCTCATTCAGTTTTGTTTTGTTCATTTTCTTTTACTTCCTGGGTTATATCATCCCTTTTGACCTCTCAATTATTTTTTATGTCTCAAACCTCTGGGAAACTGTTTTTTGGGGACTACTGGTATGACACAGGAGTGAGATGCCTCACTTGTTTGCTATTTCCACCATCTGTTTTGGGGTTCTAAATCCGTAATGGAAGTAAGGATTACAGGTACTTGAACCCAAAAGCACAACTAGGAAACAAATGCTAGTAAAGTTCTTTACTCGTGTTCAGGCAGGGTCAAAACTGGGAGATCAGTCCAAATACAACAAATCCAAAAAGGGGGAACACAAAAATCCTAGGTTGAGTAATCCGGCAAACAGGGTTGGAACAGGCAGATCTGGAACAAAATCAGGATACGCTGAAGAACTATACAATAACACACAAGACAATCTGGCAGAGAGCCAGTGAAAGTGTAGGGCCCTAAATAGTGAGGGACTACTGAGGGGATAGGCTGCTGGTGAGAAGGGCATCATGAAAACTAATTTGATGGAGAATTTGTGACAACGAAAGGACAAGTTTCCCCTCTGTTTCACTTCAATAAAACAATTGAAACATATCTTTATATTCATACATACTGTATGCCTAGTACTGACTGGGCAGGTGTTAGCAGAGAGGAAAGAAACGTTCAAATTAAATCAAGTTAAAATTGTCAAGTTGTATTCAGACAAAGAAGCTTTACATGTATGTGTATTACAACATATACAATTATTTAAAAAAACATTACACGTTACTAAAGATGACAGCATCAGAACCACACCTACAAAATATTGTACCTTGGATCAAGACCATATTAAAAGATAATAGAAATTTCACATTGTGTCAAGAGGTTGATTGTCTGCAATATTATCCAAATTTATGATGTTTCACAACATATGTACAGCAATGCTCATCAAAGCACTGGACGTCAAGCACTCTAAGAAAAAAGGAATATCACCTGTGGTAGAACCTGAATTATCTGTCCAAATAAGTGCTTCCCATGGTACTGTGTTTTTAGTGGCAGTGTGGATCCAGTCCTGTATGTCTGGCCAGGTAAAAGTGAATGTGTGACATAAATTATGCTACTAATTGTGAGATCTTGATGAATGGCTTACTTGAGTCCCTTGAGTATAAGAACTGCTTTCTTTAAGAACTATTGTTCACAATAAGTAGTAATTCCATATCAAATGCGCTTGCCTCTTTAAGGAATTATGCCTTGCCTGTCACGGTGTGGGTTTATTTCAGTCTTATTTTGTAGTTTTCTGCCTCTTGTGTCCCTGGGTAACTTCACTTCCTGCCTTGTCATGTCATCCCCTGTGATTGTCTGATTGTTTCCACCTGTGTCCAACCACCTGCACCTTCCCAGTGTATTTAAGTCATGTGTGCCTCTTGTCCCTGGTGGCGTCATTGTTGAATGTCCGGAAGTCCATGTCTGAGTGTTCCTGGTCTGTGTACGTTTTGCCTCCTTGGAATTTTGCTTTTTTGGAATATTTGACTATTAAAGTCCTTTTTGTTTCTTGAAAACTCTGCATTTAAGTCCTGCCTTTCCCGTATCCTGACAGTGTAAAAGTGAGGCACGTTGGAGTGAAAGATCCCCGGCAGCGGTGTACGAGAACCACGCTTGCGGAGTCGCACTAACGAGCCGGCCCGTTTTCCTCTCCTACGGCGTCTCACCACCACTGCATGAAAAGTGAGGTTTTCGTCCCCGTAAACGCCCGGAAATCTCCCTAATTTCCGACAATTTCCGACAATTTGCAACCCGCGCACGTCGCGTTTGTCTGTGCCACAAATTGTTGGAAACGAACCATGACGTAGGTGGAGAGCTGGCGAAGGTGCGAATGGCCCGAATTAGCATATGAATGCAGCGAAGCCGCGGGTGGCCGAGCGGAGCGGGCTTGAATATCCTTACTCCTTATTGGATGAAACCACAACTTACTAACAAATAAAATCACTCGTGATTGGCAGCAAAACCACACGTGGGCAGACCAGCCTTGAGTTTCCTTGTTCATGATTGGATGAAACCACAACTTTCAATCACTCGTGATTGGTTGGCAGATCTGTCGCTATTGGTCACCCGCCTCATTTAATTTATATATATTTATATATTCATATTATGCTGTATATTCATTTCATGGTTATCATATGCAGGTTACTACACTGTTATTAGGATACCAACCAGGACATCAATGAATTTATAGAGAAAATGAACATTTGCCACATGTTTATGCAAAGAAAGAGCTTTATTAACAACACACAAACAACAACTACATACAAAGTGAGGATCTGCCCACACTTAGGTAACGGCGGTTTAAAAA